AGAAGTCCGAAAGCGGTCAAGGCGCGCTCGTCTCTCCCTTGTGGAGCTGACGTCTAAGTATAAATTAAGCTTTACTGCTTTTTACAGCAACAACTGTTACAAAGGGACAATAGTACAATGTGAAGAGCATTACCTGGGAACTTCCTACAGCTCAGTGAAGACAAGACTGAAATCCTCATCTGTGCCCCAGATTCACTCACACAAAATCTTCTGTCAGAAATCTTGGTGTGACCCTTGACCCAGCTCTCACACTGGATTCTCCAGTCAGTTCTCTTGTTTGCTCTTCCTTCTTTAGTCTCAGGAGCATTGCTAAGCCGAGTTCCATTCTGTCACGTTCTGAACTTTAGATTGTTATCCACACCTTCATCTCCTCACAGCTGAGCAAATACTCCCTAAACAGTTTACAGGTGGTTCAGAATGTCTGTGCTCGGCTTCTGACCAAACTGTCGAAGCACACCCACATCACCCCGCTTCTCCAGCTTCACTGGCTGATCCTGGTTCTGGCCTTTAGGGCTTAACATGGACAAGCACCATCTTACATTGGTGAACGTTGTCCCTACACCCCCAGCAGGTCCCTGAGGTCCAGTGACCAAAGCCTACTGGTTGTGCAGCACACCAGGGTAAAGACCAAAGGTGACAGATCATTTGCTGCTGTGGCCCCCAGACTCTGGAACTCTCTCCCCCTGAACCTGGGATCAGTGGACTCATTGGTCTCCTTTAACATGCAGCAAAAATCTCCTCTGTTCAGGATGGCTTTGGTGTGAACTCCTGTTGATCCTCATCCTCCTAACTAGTTTCAATTCATGCTGCGTTTCTGTAAATTCAGTATTTTTCAGACTCCAGTGTTTACTTTTGCATTTTTATTCACATTCTTTATCGTAATTTTAAAATTCTCATTTTTTTAAATATTTTTCAATTACTTATTTAAAAATAACTTATTGCTTCTTGTAAAGAGTCTTGTGATTTTTATAGACAGGCTTTATATTTAAAAAAAATTAACTTTCTTCTACTTGAAAACCTGCTAACTATGAAAAAAAATTAACATTTTGGGAGCTCAGGTGATGAAGGGGTAAATGCACGTAGTCCAAGGAAACCTTTCAAAAAACATCTGAAAAGTATGAGAATACAACAGTTTAATGAAAGACGACCACATCACTCCGGGTAAGCCATTGTAAACATTACGCACACTCACAGACCAGACCAGTTGGAGAGGTGACTCACAAATGAGAAGCCCAGGGAGGAGGTTGGTGACACGTTCTCCTTTGTTACTGAGACACGAAGACGCTCAAGGACAAATCACGGAAACTTTGCACATGATACATTTGGGGTAGTCGTGAAAATACCAGAGGAACCGCTTAAATAGGTTCGTCAAAAATTCTCATTGCTTTAAAGTAGGTCAGTATAAACACTGTCAATGAGTGCCAAATGAAAGCTTCTGACATTCCAGGACTATGGTGCAACAGCTCAATAGATCAATAAGTCTGAGTGATGAGACTGGTGAAAGATAAATGTCACATGAGCCTGCATGAACCAAAACAAAGACAGCACATCCCGTTTTTTTTAATAACTCTTCCAGACAGTTCTCATGTAGAGCAGCCACAGGTCACTGTAAGCCTATAAAGCATTAAGCGCTACCAGGAACACCAGATTAGTTGATGACATAACTTTATTTCAGTGAGGGATGAACCTGCTAAACTGCAGTTCTGTGGACTCATTCAGAAATATTGCTCTTACAGTCTGTGAGGTGGTGAAACCTAAACAGCAAGGCAGGTGGCAGATTTGCTTCAATCCAGCAGGCGACCCAACTGACCCGGCCAGAAACACGTCTACCACCAACAGCCACAAACTGATCATTACAAATAGGCCCACTTCCGGCGGAGAACTTCAGAAATTATAATCTGTACTTCCAAGAGATTGGAGATATTTATGCCAAGCTGAACACTATAAATCACACAACTCAAGCTTACATCTGGGCTTACCGACAACAGAAAGATGGCCTTTTAATCCCCTCATGTGGTGACACGATAAAGTCAAGGATTAAAAACTAGCCAGTCAACTCCGCTGGCCGCCTGCTTGCATCATCAGTCGCAGCGCTGCACTTAAACATCACAGCAGAGCTCAGCAGGGCCAGGCTGTGGTTGTACACATGTAAAATGTATGGAGCTGTAGAGGACCTGGTCATGTCTATAAATACACGCCTGTCTCAAAGGACGAGTGCTAAAGGAGTTGTTTTCAAAGATGGATGAAAATGAAACTGTTCTGCTCTGATGCGTTCAGCGTTTATTGATTAATTACCAGTTAAAACTTAACCGAACTTACGTTAACCTAAATTTAAACAGACTAAAACTTTTTTTAAAGAATACAGAAAACATAAAAATGAACATGGCACATATGAGATAGAGCTTTTCTTAGAGCTTTTCTTATAAATAAAAACACCTTAACCTAAAAAAAACACAAGAAAGTCTTACACGTACGTGAAGCCACCTGCTCTGTGCTGCTGTTGAACCCTTCATCCTGTCACCAGACTGATCAGACCTTGCCTGGTGGCTCTTTGAGCTAGTTTTCTTCTGGGATCATAAAATGGGGAGGGGGATCACCATCAAGGCGAAGCAGGAGGAAGCGAGCGTTTATTTGTTCTCCCATTTCGAAGGGATAATGATACTGCTGTATTTTATTAGATTAAGCAAAATGCAACCAAGTCAAATTAAAATATTCTTTTTTTTTTAATCAAAGCACTCTTCTGGACAAATTAAAACCTATGTGACAGCATCTGGTAAGTGGACTACAGCTGGCATCACAATTTAAGTTATTATTATGAAGCCTTTTAAAGTGACTATGTGTATTTTCCCTGGTAGTAAGGGGCAGTACATACCTAAATCATTGCAAGCAAATGTATTTTTGTGTTCGAGTAAGACCTTACCAAACGAATAGCCATTAGAGTTAAAAATCCCTGGGAGAGCAATTTTCGAACGAGTATTTTGTCAGATTGTTCAACCTCCAGCAAAAAGACAAGCACACCAGACTCCCTTTCATCACTGGCAATAAGTGAAGAGGTAAATGTGTAAAACAACAGCATTTATGAATGGCGAAAGTTTTGTAACAGTTTGTTACAATTAAGTAAATGCATTTTGTCCTCATGGGCTCATGTAGAAGGAAACATAGCATCACCCAGAGACTTGGACCCAGTCCCATGTATTTTAGACCTGATTTTATGGATTTGTGTTACGAAGCCGCCAAACTTTTTCAACAACTGGGAATCACTTAATTCATTTTGAACAACATTTCAACAAATATTTTAAGAGATCAATTGTAAAAACTACAAATTGACATTTTAAGACGTCAAGTTACGTCAAAATGTTTGGTACTGAACTGCTTGGCAAACCAATTTCCCTCTGGGATTAATAAAGTATTTTTGAATTGAATTGAATTGAAATAGGATTATAAGGCATGATTATTGGTGATAGATGGACTGGTCAAAGTGTCTCAGAAACTGCTGATCCTCTGGGATATTTCTAGGGATGTAACGATACCACTTTTTTCCAAACCGATACGGTACAGATACTTGGATCTGAGTACTCACCGATACCGATACTTCTACCACACAAAACAATGCAATGAATTGGAATACAGGTTTTATTTTCTTCTCTGCTTTCAACGGGAAAGGACTGTGAGGTAGATAAAAAGTAAAATGTGTTAATATAAATGATCACAAAACTAAAATAATAGGTGAACAGAAATGACAAGTTCCAGTGCCACTTTCAAGCAACTGCATTGGCATCAGTTACTGGTATCTGTTCATTTTTATCAATACCGATCGGTATCTGTATCGGCACCAACCAGTATTGGTATCGGTGCATCCCTAGATATTTCCCCAACTATTTCTGAAGTTTACTGGGAATGGACAAGAAAATCTGTGGGTCACGATGTCAGCAGAAAGGCAACCTGTTTTTTTTTTTTGTTTTTTTTACAAATGGTAAAAGTGGTGTAAACAAACACCTTTAGTGCTGCAGAATACCATCTCTGAACACAATATGTAAAATAAAAACAGAAGGAGATGGACTAGTAGTAGAAGACCATACCAGGTGTCACTCTTTTCAGCTGAGAACAGGAAACTGAGGTAGAAATTCACAGGATTAAAAAAAAAATCTATTTGGGATTGGAAAAAAGTGCCTTGCTCTGGCATGTTTTGATTTCAGCTGCAAAAATCCGATCTCAATCCAGTCCAGAAATTTAGGGTTTTAATGGGAGATTCAGATCATAAGATGTTGCAGCTGTCAAATCTACAGCAACTGTGATGTTACCATGTCAATACAGACCAGAACCCCTTATTGAATGTTTTAGCATCTTGTTAAATGTATGCTAAGGTAAAAAGGAGCACTAACAAAATGTACCTAATGAAGCAGCCGGTGAGTTTATGTAACCTGGGTCAGAGTTCAACAATTTGGTGATTTTCATATGACACTTTAATTAAAATGGCATGCACTCAAACCGAAGACTCTAATTTAGTCCAAAAAAAAACTTAAGTTAAAAAGATCACAATAACTACTTTTATGATCATCCATGATGAACGAAGTAAATAAAACACCTTTTCAGAATAAATCTAGTAATCTGACTACGTTGATTTCCCCCCACGATAAGCGTTGAGAGTTCAAAGTTCACTTGATGCTCTTCATTTAAATATCCAGCTAAACTTTCAGAAACTCTTAACCCAAAACTCAGCTCGCGTGTTAAGGACTTGACCAAAATGTCAATCAAAACAAGTGTGATATTTTCAAGATGGGGTTGAATCCCTAATTACAACCTCTACCGTGCTATTAACGCGCAAAGATGTAATTAAAAAGTGGCACAGCTGAATCCGTTCTTGCACCAGTTAGCCTGTTAGCATAGTTCACACAATGCCAGGTTTCCCAGCGAGCCTTTACTGCGACGAGCTCCTTGGTGGTGGTCCAAAAACAGAGCGCGTCCAGCCCCCATTACAGGAAAATAAAACGTAATCTCACCTTCTTCATCCGCGGGGCTTCAGCAACGGTCCCGTCGCGGTTCACGAAAGCCTCCCCGCCGTTCTGCTGTGGGTCCGAATGCTTCAGAGCCGATGCTTGAGGCATCTTAGCGGCGTTGGGGGTGAGCAAGCCTCGGCTGCCTTCGCCGGCTTTCGCGGAGGGCTCCGCGGTGAGGGACGTAGCAGCGGAGGAGCCAGCCTCGTGCGGCTCGTTTCTGGCAACGGTTTTGTCTTCCGACGGGGGTGTCACCGGGGACTCAACCGACAGGGCTTTGCCGGTGGAGACGTCTTTGAGCTCGACCTCTGCCATTTTCGCTGCCACAACCTGGACTGACATCGCCACAGTTTCTCAAAGTCCTTTTTCCCCAACACTAATAGCAGGTCAAGCGGATGTGAGCGGAGGCGCAACGGCAGCGCGGTGCATTGTGGTTGTTGTAGTCCCACCGAAGCGCTCTAATAAACTTGCTTACAGGACATCGCTTTTTAGAAGACACGATAACGCTACTGAGATGTTTCTAGACGCTGTTCGCCACGGAAAAAAAACAACTAGTTGAATAAACATGATTTGAATTAACAATGTAGTCCTGGTAGAACACTTAGCCTACATTTCCCAGATTCAAAACTCGAGGAAACATTGCGACCAATGCAGTTAATATTAAGCCATGCAACTCAAACACACGCAGTAATTAATGCTCAAGTAGGGCAAGTTATATTCTAATGACTTTAATTGCTTTAAACTAGAAATAAGCGTAATAATTTAAAGGATATTAAATCAGCCAGTGGTCTGCGGTTTACAGAAACACTGTGCCGCTTTGCGAAGCTGACTAATGGTATATTTAATCCGAAATCATCGCAACAGAGCACCTGATGTGGCACATTCTGGCAAAAGGGTATAGAAGGTCAAATCCTTTAACATGACTTATACTGCCACCATGTGGAGGTATTCGTCACCAAACACAAATATTACAGCAGGATTAGCAAAATTCAAGGCTTTCTTTAATCTCTCGCTGTAATTTTCACATTTCATTAAACATGTTATAAACACCAAACATCTCTTCTAACAGTACTCAATGACAGGCACGTTGAAAATCAGAATAAAAATATTTTTGTGGGATGAAATGATAAAAAAGGACATGTCCATCACATATCAGTTGCCAGTCCTGCAGCATTCCTTTAATATGGGAAAATAAGTTCAAGTGATCCTTTCTGTATCTTTTTATAAGCTGACCAAAGATTTTTTTACCACTGCAAATCTTTATTTCTACAAAAGAACACAAACCTTTTGCAGATTTGAACAAATCCTAAATCCAAATAAAACAGGAAAACAGGTCCGAGCCCTTTGTCGTCAAGCAGATAACTCTGAGGTAATACATTTAAAATGCTGCCATGCTGGTACATTCTCAAATTACTCAATAAAAATTCTTTTTTAAAATTCAAAATGCAACTAGCTGTATAAGGACTTTGTGGTGTAACAGAAGCTGGTTTGTGCCAAAAAAAGCTGAGAAAATGTCCCATCATATGCAGGTATTTTAACTGTAAAATAAGAGGCTTTGTCAAGCAGGAGCCTAAAGGAGAAAATTCTGCCCTTTTGCAGCCGTTTGTTGCTTTTAAAAGATGATGGATCAGTCTTCAAAAATCCACAGGATGTTCACACCAGAGAGGCCCAGATTAACCCTCCTGAAGAAAACATGGCAGGCTTGTGAGTCTTAAAGTAGCACACAAGGTTGACCAACCACTCTGAATAAATATGTAAACAGTGGGTTTGTGTCATAACCTTTTCTTGGAAAATTAGTCAACATTTTATCATACGCTCAAGCTGAACACATTAATTTGAGCATTTCCTGTTGATATGTTTTTCCTGGAACTCACCCCAGCATCCCTGACTCCTTGATCTTAATGATGTAAAGGAACATGAGGATTGTGTGGAACAAGTTGTTTCTGCCCTGTAACACAAATCAAGATGGGATCATAGCAGTGAATTTCAAGTGTGACCAATTAGCAGCAAGTTCAGAGCTGTGTTATATGAAGAGAGTGTTAATAAAACACGGGTGAGTAAAATATCATGTATGCATCACAATAAAGTTGTTGCAAACACCTTAGGAAGACTGTAGATGTGTCCTTGGTATATGAGTTGGTAGTGAGGGGGGTTGGTGCTGCTTTGGTGGATGCAGAAGAGGTTCTCCTTGGTGACATCTGCAAGGGTTAGTATAAAAACAAACACCTTAAAGAAGAAAAGGAGGAAACTTCCATTTTTATGGCTTCATTGTTTGCCAGGTGCGTGCTCACCAGGTTTGTCAGGAGTGTGGCTGAAGTGCTGGGAAGTGAAAGTCTTCCCATCAGGGTACTTTGGGTGTGGAGGCAGCCTGGAGTCCAAGTATGTGCAAAACATATGCATGAGGATCTGAGAGGGGGTGAGGAGAGATGAAGAGGGTGACCCAGCTGGATGGAGTTGTTGCACACAAAAAAAAAAAACACATTGATGCAGAACAGCATACCGTAAATCCTCTAATATTAGCCTGTATTTAATTAACTGCCGGGTATCATATTTTGGTCGGAGTAGGCAGAGGTGAATAATGGCCGGTTTTTTATTGTGGCCGGGTGGAATGTGGTAACAAGCAAGTATGGGGGGAGGTTGTGTCATCCGTCTCACTTTTGATTTGCCAGTGACAGACCGCGAGGGTAACTTTAACCGTGCGGAGACGAAGAAGAGGCGTCAAGTTGATATCAAGTTCAAAGAGAATGTGCTGATTATGCTGCAGAACACTCTGGGGAGCAGTAGCAGGGGTTGTATGAACTAGTCACTAGTCGACTTCACCGCTCTATAGTGACTTTTTATGCCTGTCATCGACTAGTCGCTGTCACGTGATAATGACCGGCAAGATGCAGTCCACGGAAAAGACAGCACCCTGCTGTCAGCAGGTGACAAGCTCCTGCGCGTCAGGAGGCAACGCGCTGTGCCAGAGCGTTGGTACTGACACCCGCCGTAAAACGGATATTTAACCAAATTGTGACGTTTAACCTCTTGCAATTTAACCCTCCCCTCACCCCATCCTAACCTTAACCAGCTTGCACATGCAAAGCTCTGATTGTTGACGCGCTCCAGACATCTGCGTCCTGAGCACGGCCACAGTAACGTTATCAAATCAGGTGTCGCCACCTCAAAAACTAATTTAACACGCGATTGTTCATGTCGGCTAATTTCCTTTTATGTTTTCTGTCTTATTTGTGCCTGATGCTTTTCGCTGCTGTGGATCAGGGCGCATCACCTGTTTTGTCCTCGGTGACGCACCTAACTGATGTGGCCGGCAAGCACTCCGCTGTTTTTGCGGTCGGTAGATCTTTTAGAACTGCAGTTCAAAGGTAACTCATAAGGTGAATATATATGAACCCAGGTAGCAGTTTTTCTTTAGGATTGAGAGGAGAAGCAGGAAGATAATAAACAGGCAGGACAGAAAAATAGTCAAATAAAAACAAGTTAGTTTTTGTACCTGGTGGTTGCAACAAACAGACACTATTGAAGGTAATCAGAAGTGAGGAACAGAAAATGAAATAATTATTTTAGTGTTTAGATCAGCAGGAACTCTGAGAGGCTGCAGGCGCATCAGTGAGTTTGCGGCCGCTGCGCAGTGGGAGGGGGGAGAAGGCTGAAGCAGAAACTACCGTTGTTAAAAGAAATGTTTAACTTTGAAAATGTGGGTGCAATTTTAATTGTCAAAAACTCCAGCGAACCATTAGTTCATTTTGCTCAAATAGAAATTGAGGCCTGCCTCTAATTCTGGTCCTCCTTCCAATAAAGGCCCGGAGCTTGATGAGCTTGAGTCAAATACAGACCCGGGCCTGTATTAGAGGATTTACGGTAAATGATTGTTGCTCCCACTTACTATAGGTCTGTTACTGGTTTCAAGGTATGACTGGGCTTTTAAACGTAACAGTGTGAACTAGAGCTCAATAGTTACATCGCACATCCTGCTGCGATGTTGGAGAAATAGAAATAAAATATAGAAGACTGTGTTAAAGAGCAGGGAACTTCTTCCTTACTGGTTCATTTGCACACAAAAAAAGAACCCTCAGACTCCTGATAAACACATTGACGTACAATACCACGATAACAAAAGTTAACTAGGCAGTTTCTGCTTGCTTTTAGCACTCATTAGTGTTCGTTTGTAGAACCAAAGGCAAAACCTCTCTCCTCTTAATGCATTTGTCTTTTGTCTTTTAAACACCTTAATCTAACAGCTGAAATGTCTCCCTAGCCTTCATCACTAAATTACACAAATCAGCACGGTCCGTGATCTAAAACATGCAGGAAACAGACTGCAGCGCCAGACATGTCAGCTCAATTATTTCCAAGTCCCAACAGAAAACGGCCCATCAGTCTGAAGTTGCAAGTGGAATATTCTGGCCACAGGGGGCGATATGGGCTGGGTGGCCTTTTGTTAACCCTGTAAAGGCACCAACTGGCTAAAGACAATGATTTAATATTAAAAAGTTGCAAAGTATCCTTTTAAGAGGGGAAATCAGTAGAGTGTTGATGCCCCTTATGTTCACAATCACACACAGATCTACACAATTTGTGAATCTGTTCCTATGGTGGGGCCGTTTTACGAGGCTTCAAGCATCCCCACATGATTCATCAATATGCTTTGGAGTCTCGATGTAGAAGGACACAGCACCAACAAAAACCAAACTTTATCAAGTCCGGCAACACCAAAACACTTTACAGCACAACCGTAGCTACAGCACCCTGGGGCCCACTGACAGAAACAACGCTCAGGACCACTGGTTTGACCGACCACCAGCAAGCGAGGAGGGTGAAGTATTGCTCAAGACTCCAGCCCCTGAGCCACCGTTGCCCCAAGATCTGCGCAGGTTGATTGTCCACAAGATATTGGAAAATATCTGCCAGAACAGGCCAAAACCAGTTTTTTTTTTTCCTGTCAAAGACTTTTTCATAGATCTCCTCACAGTGGAAGGAAGGGAGGGAGCTTCCAGGATCCACCCCCACAAAAGGTTTTATATGTGCTGTAATAAACCTCATGTGCCAGCTGGTGTGTGACATGTTCAGACATGTAATTAATCTGTCAATTAGTGATGTACCGAGATGAAATTTTGGGGCTGATACCGATATTAAGATCACTGTTATGGCCGATAACAGATATTTTCCGATAGCGATATACTGACATTAATGCTTCTAACATCAGCAATTTTGTATAAAATGAAAATTATTAAAACCACATTTACATTATCATGTACACACACCACACACATTTACAGTTCTGAGATGATTACAATCACTGTTCACATGAATAAACTAATACACATCACCCCCCTCACCCTCTGAAACAGGCAAACAAATGGAGACAAGATGGAGAAAATATCGGTTGTTAATATCGTCCCGGCTTTATTTATCGGACCGATACTGATATGTTAAAATATGACTAATATCGGCCGATACCAATATTGATGCCGATATGTTGTCCATCCCTACTGTCATTGCTTACAGACGTGATATTGAAACTGCATTTTACAGGTGTTTTTGTTCACATGCAGGAAGAACATGCATGCTACCAATAGAGCCCGTCTCTATCTCTTACACGTGTTATGCATTAACATTAAAGAAACAAAAGCAGGACAGAGAAACAAGGTCCTTTGGTAAATTTTATCTACGTTCCCAGATCTAAATACAGACAGTGGGGGGTTTTACTCATTTTTGGTGTCAGCTCCAAAGCTCTGGAACAAACTTCCACTTGGCCTGCGCATGACTACTGATGTCACTTTACTTAAGTCTGGATTAAAGACGCACCTCTTTCACATGGCTCTTAAAAATCCAGGGGCGTAATCTGTGTTGAATCTGGTGCTCTTGATTTTTGCATTTTAATCATTTTTTTGCTATCTTAAAATGGAGTAAATTTTATTACTTTTATAGTAGCTCTAAATTAGTTCTGATTTTTACTTTGTAGAGTGGTTCTTAATTATTTTATTGTTGTTTTTTTTAACAGTTATTTTCATATTAAATGTTAAGCACTTTGGTCACCCTCTGGGTTGTGTAAAGCCCTAAATAAATAAACATTGACTGATTTAAACTAAAATACAAGAATCATCAGAACTTTTTGCTGTAATAGTAGCATTTATCTTTTATAGAACATCTGTTATCTGTCGGGTCATCAAAGTCCGATAGAGCCCACTCCTCCCCTCAGGCATGCACCACCAGTTTAGCTCAGCTCTACATCTTTGGACTCACGGCACAGTCGGTGGGGAGGTCCGTGTCCCACTTCCTGTTCTTCAGATCCCCGCCACCGTTCCAGCGGAAGGAGCTCATGCAGCCGCTGTGAGCTAGCTCTACATAAACAGAGGAAGTCAATATTTCACTGCTACCAATAAAATCATAATGAAAAAAATGTTGCTTGGATTAGATTTAGTCTCCCACACAAATAAACTCCATGCACTCGGATTTGACATCCGTGATGTTGAACTCACCCTTTATCCTGTCCACTAGATACTCCTGGTTGGGTGTGATGTCCAAGTATTGGACAATAGAGTTCATGGTGGGGATTGATGAGGCTTTCAACACCGCCGCCTGTTTCAGACTGCTGATGCTAGCCTCTGGTGGCGCAAGGAGGGAAAACTTTAACACGTGGCTGCATTTATCACTTAGGAGTTCTTTACGCTTTCACATGTTTACATTTTACCTCCTATCTGGAGCTCCGGACAGCCCATCCTCCTGAGCTGACTGTTGACAGAGTCGATTTCCTTAACCAGAGGGACCAAGATGGTGTCGTTGATCCACTGCAGACACAAACATGTTCTAAGATCAAATCACTGATAATATGAGTAGCAGCCACTGAGTTTATTAAACGTATAATTGATCAAGAAGAAACTAGCACTACCCACGTTTCTAAGTTTAGCTGTCCAGCTATCAATATGGTTCATGACCGCACGGCTGGTTGTGATTCTGGCCCACACCTGCATTATTTTTTTAAGAGGGAAATGAAATTTTTTTTACAACTATCCAGAGATCCAAACAACAAATCTGTCATTAGTAACATTAATGAATCATCTCATTATATAGACCTCCTCCGCAGCTTGTTTAGATCCCAGATCTGTCTCGTCCTTGTGGGCAGACGGCGCCTGAGAGCGGCACGCTGGTTGGTAAAGAAACTTCCTCAAGCTCTGAGCATAATCTCCAACCGAACGGTTATAATTCCAGAACGTTGGACTGTGACTGGGAGACACGGACTCTGGGCTGCCTGTGGATGGAACGAAGCAATATTAAAAATCTGAGAGGTAAATTTAGCTTTCCCCAGGTGCCGGCATAGTTGAGTTACTCATTGTTTAACACCTTAACATCTTAATAAACCTCAATTATCTTTAACATTCTACAGAAGACAGTTGTAACTTGGACTTCCTGGTTGCAGCAAAGAAAAAAAAATTCAGGATAAAGTTCAGCATTCCATCTACAGAACAAAACGCTCACCGAGGTGGCTGCGGTGACTCTTCTCCTCCTCCGAGCGAAGAAACCTCTCCAGACATTTCAGATCTTCTATGCAGTCCTCTTTGCTTCCAGAAGAGTTAAAGACAGATGGAGATGTTCTGTATCGAGCCCTCAAACCAGAACCTTCTGATGGTCCGATGCTGTGTGGGTAAGGAGAAGAGCCTGGAGACTGACTGTAGTTCAGCACCTGGAAAAAGGGAAACATTAGATGTAGCATCACTTTTTAAACTTTTGTTTCTGATTTCATTATTTAAAAAAACAAGCACTTTGCCAAAAGGCAGAGAAGACGAGAATGGCCCTCCAGCACCACTTGGTGAGGATGGACTGCTGAGAGCAGGGCTGTAGCCAGTTGCACAGGTCGGGGAGAACTTGGGGCTGCTCGAGGCAGGACGAGACGGACTGAAGCTCAGCACGCTCTGGCCCTGCAGAGGAGACGACTGGGCAGGAGTTGGGGATTCTTTTTTCTCTGGCTTTTGAGGAGGAGAGGCCTGGAAACCTACATGAGGAAAGTCAACATGTTGTCATTCAAAGATGAAGCAATGAACGCTTATATATCCTACAATATTAGCTTGAATATAACAAGGATTAGACAAAATCAAAAATAAATAATAAAAAGATGTATCAGAGACTCACTTGTGTTCCTCAAACCCAGAAGGCTGCACTGCTCAGGAGTTACAGCAATAGTGGATGGAGCCATAGTGTATTTGAAATACTTCCAGAAGTCAAAAAGAGCATTGAGACTAAAGAGAGAGGCCAACACCAGCTCTGTACAACAGAAACAGGTTAGTGTAAAAAGATTGCTTTAAAACAAAGTTTCTAACATTTGTAGTATTTTCTATTTAATTAGAAAATTCAAACATTTCTTTATCTATGTACAAAAATTAACATTGCTCAAAACAGGGCAGAGATATTCAACTATCAAGAGGAATTCAGGAACAATGCAAAATGTCCCTACTATACATCAATAGCTAGGACCTTTAAGTAAAGGTATGCTATGATGGAAATGTCAATCTCTAACAATTAAAGCAACAAAACAAGATCCTGGTTCTGGTCTTTAGGGCCTTACATGGACAAGCACCATCTTACATTGGCGAACTTCTCACTCCCTACACCCCCAGCAGGCTAAAGACCAAATGTGACAGATCATTTGCTGCTGTGGCCCCCATACTGTGGACCTCTCTCTCCCCCTGAGCTTGAGATCAGTGGACTCAGTGGTCTCCTTTAAAAAGCAGCTGGAAACTCAGTTGTTCAAGCTGGCTTTTGCCTGACCTTCATCACCACCCTCTCCTTATTCTGCTCTTTACTGGGATCTAATTTCTCTTTCCTATTCATTTTCCCTTTCTCTTTACTTACATTTTTAATCACAATTTTTCCTAATTTTAACCACAACTTTTAATTGTTTTAAAAATCTTTATTAATTTTACATTTTTTATTCTTGTGATGAGCCTGGTGATTTTTTTTCCTTGAGAGGCGCTATATAAAAGAGTGTTTTCTTTCTAAATTCAGTGATGCGTATTCTACAACAGAAATGTCAGAAGTCTCTTGACCTCGTCATGCATAATTTCATCATTGATTAAAGCTCAATAGCCACGTCTACAAGTTATTTGTTGTCTGTTGAGGTTATAGTGCATTTCAGAAGCTTTCTGAAATCCCGTTCAAATGATGGATATCCCATATTTTGGAAGTTGTGTATAATTATTTTTTCCATAACATCTGAATGAAAACCAGAGATTGGTAAACACTTTTTTGTGCAGCTACAGCATATCATCGAATTGACCTTGTGACCTATAAGCATCTTTAGATAAAAGGCCAGAGAAGTGGGATCTCACCAATGTACCAGATGGGCCAGTAGGTGATGTTGTAGAATCGACTCAGCAGCTTCCCTGACCTTAAAGATAAGCACACACGACGGAGACACCATGAAAAAGCAGAGACACTGACTGAATTCGTTTCAACTCCACAGCAACTACTTCTGCTTACATTTCAGTGTAAATCATGCCAGCCAGGGACACGTTGAGGACAGCCCAGGCGAGAATGATCTGTCGAGCCTGCTCCTCCCTCCTCATCCTCAGTGCCCTGTCTATCATACTGGGCATCCCCTCCTTTGGTGGGGTAAACATGATTCAAACACACCGGTCACGCTAAAAACATATAGCAGAGAACGAAACTTTTAAATAACACACACTCCATAAAACAAATTACTTCAGTCGAATTGAATTGACACAAAGTGAAGTTAGCCAACCTGCTAACAGAAAGCTAAAGTTAGCCGGCTAACAAGAATAGAATGATGCTGCTAACGGAAAAGAAACGCACCCTCACTAAATATCAAAAGCAGCAAATAAATACAAAAATTTTAATGCACATGACGTACAGAGTGAACACCAGGAAAGGTTTTAAGTCATACCGCGTTAATGTGAACGCAAACGGAGGCGCTGCATACTTTGTATCTTACCCGGAAGCTATAAAGAATACTTCCGGTCTCACATAAATTTGTTTTCCCTAGTTACGACGTCAGCGTGTGACAGCAGACATGCCGCCTGGTGAATGCGGCCAACCGACCAATAACGCCAAATTTCACGCAAATTAACATTTATCATGAATAATGTTAAATGGCAAAAAAAATTAAACAATAAATGTTAGCTATTTCATTCTCGATCCATAGCTGTTATATAAGGAAGAGATTAAAAATAATTGAGTTATAATAAATAAAAATGTATATATTTGTAAATTTTAACAGAATTTGACTTGTTTTTCATTAAAAAAAATTCTGAAAGTATAAAAAGACATAGGCCATATTAAATCAAGGGAGAACGTTTTAATAAACCAAAAATTAAAAAAAGAAATTAAACTGTAAAGACAGCTTTACATAAAACCAAACTGTTCAAATTGTTTTCCTAAAACAACAAATATAGCAGCACTGACATTTTTTAAGTGGCACCTTTTTACACAAAACATATATGTATTTAGTCCATCCATCCATCCATTTTCTTCCGCTTATCTAGAGTCAGGTCGCGGGGACAGCAGCCTGAACCGAAAGGCCCAGACTTCACACCCCCCTGCCACTTTCTGGGGGAATCCCAAGGCTTTCCCTGGCCAGTCAGAAGACAGTCCCTCCAGCGTGTCCTTGGTCTACTTTTAGGTCTCCTCCCGATTGGATGTGCCTGGAAAATCTCACAAGGAGGTATTCAGGAGGCATCTTTATCAGTTGCCAGAGCCACCTCAACTGGCTCCTGTTGATGTGCAGGAGCAGCAAATCTATTTCGAGCCCCTCGACCTTCTCTCCCCATCTCTATGGGACGAGCACAAAAGTCCAATAATAAAACACTGCTCATTTCGGCCAATTGTATCCGCAATCTCATTCTTTCGGTCACTACCCAAAGTTCGTGACCATAGGTGAAGTTAGGAATGTAGATCGACTAGTAAATCGAGAGCTTCATCTTCTGGCTCAGCTCTCTTTTCACCAAGACAATGTCCTAACACTGCAGATGCCGCACAATCCGCTTATCGCTTTCATGCTCCATCTTTCCCTCACTCGTGAACAAGACCCCGAGATACTTAAACCTCCAATTGGGGAAGGTCCTTATCCCTGACCCAGAGAAGGTATTCTACCTTTTTCCAACTCATGACCATGGTCTCGGATTTAGAGGAGCTGATTCTCATCCCAGCTGCTTCACCACATTGCTCCTCCTAAATCCAAGGTTCGACTATCCGACAAACCCTCCTCTCCAGAACCCTTGAATAGACCTTGGCAGAGAGGCTCATGAGTGTGATCTCCCATAGTTGGAACACATCCTGCAGTCCCCCTACCACTACCCCAGTCTGACAATCAAGTGGAACTGCCCCCGAGGTCCATGCAATATAGCAGAGCCGCAACAGCCAATACAGCCCTATAACATCCAGAGCCTTAAGGAACTCTGGGCGGATCTTATCCACCCTCTGAGCCTTTCCACCGAGGAGCTTTTTGACCACCTCAGTGACCTCAGCCCCAGAGATTGGAGAGCCCAACCCAAAATCTCCAGAATCTGTTTCCTCACTGGAAGGCGAGCCGGTAGGAATGAGGTCTTCAAAGTACTCCACTCACCAATCCACAACATCTCGATTTAAGGTCAGCAGCACACTGTCCCCAATATAAACAGTGTTGGCAGTGCACTGCTTTCCCTTCCTGAGTTGCGGGATGGTGGACCGGTAACTCCTCAAAGCCGTGCATAAGTCTTGTTTCATGATGTCGCCAAACTCCCCCCACACCCGAGGCTTTGCCTTGTGACCGAGTTGTATTCCGCTTTGACTACCAGAACCAGCTGCCTCTGAAGTCCCACAGGCTAAAAGACCTGATAGGACTGTTTGTTCAGCTTAACGGCATCCCAAACGTTCGGGGGTTGTGGTCACAACAGACATAGATGACCCTGCGGCCAAAGCTTGAGGCACGGAACATGGCCCACTTGGACTCTATGTCCCCCCACCTTCCCAGGAACGTTATGGAAGTTCTGTTGGGAGGTGGGAATTGATGCTCCTTCTGACAGGAAACTCTGCCAGACGTTCATAGGAGACCCTCTCAATACATTTGGACCTGCTAGGTCTGACTGGTATCAGGACCCACCACTCAAGCCAACTCACCACCTGGTAGTAGTCAGTTGACAGCTCCGCCCCTCTCTTCACCCAAGTGTCCACAACATGCAGACACAGATCAGGTGAAACGATATCGATCAGGCTGCGGCCTTAGGTATCCTGGTGCCAAAAGCACGTATGGACACCTTTATGCCTGAACGTGGTGTTCATTATGAACAATCCATGATGAGCACAGAAGTTCAATAACAAAACACTGCACAAATTTAGATCAGGGTTGTTCATCCCAACCACACCCCTCCAGGTCTCACTGTCATTGCCCGCGTGAGCGTTTAAGTCCCCCAGCAGAACGAGGGAGTCACTGGAAGGAGCGCTCTCCAGAGCATCCCCTCCAAACACTCCAAAAAGGGTGAGTAGTCTAAACTGTGATTGGTGATATTGCACAGTTCGACTATATCTAGTCAGAACTTTTCAACCTCATATACATAGTTAAAGTAAAAAATGAATAGGTACAAGAGCAAAATAATGATATTGTAGTGAATAAATTAAACATTTCTAGAGGCTCAGTGTCATCTATGAGAAGGTGAGAGAGATTTCTCAGAGTTGTAACCTCTAACATCCAAACCACAGTCGTCTTCGATGGCTGTATCAATCTGGTGGAGTCGTTCTCCAGCACTTCTTCCATCTCTGCTATCATCTTCATCTTCCTCCTCCTCTTCCTCCTCCTCCTCTTCATTAACGTTCTGCTCTTTACGAGTTGTTCTCTCTGTTTTGGGACCTTTACAGATTTTTAGGTGACGTGTGAGGTGGTATTTCGTTAGGAAAGCTTTGTGGCACTTCTCGCAGACAAAGTCTCTTTTGCCCTCGTGAGAGTTCATGTGCTTCTTCAGGTGGTTCATTTTGAGGAAGTTTTTGTTGCACTTTGGACACTGAATCTGTCGTTCACTGTCAGGGGGAAAAAAAGGAGATAAAAGACAAACAACAACAGATAATATTCAGTCTGACACATTTTAAACTAAACATTCAATACATACTTGGTGTGAGAGAACATGTGCTGCTTCAGGTCACTCTTCCTGATGAATGTTCTGTCACAGAGGTCGCATTTTAGCTTCTCTGCACCAGTGTGGATGAGCATATGTGAAGCCACATGAGACTTCTGTGTGAACAACCTCTCACACACAGTGCATTTGTAGTTTTTCTGACCTGTTGAAAAATGAAAAACAACAGCATGGAGTGGAAAAGGCATGAGACGTACAAAGATCAGGAATAAACAACTACAGCTAATTAACGAGACAGTGTTGCCATAAAAGCAAAGAGCTGGATGTCCAAACAGTGACTCTGTGCAAACAAAATAGTTGATACTTTGGAAACCTATGGTTGGACTTAGGGATGTGCATTGGTCAAATTCTGGCGATACAATACGTATCACAATATAGGGAGACGATACGATATATTGCGATACGTTCAGCCAGATGATATTAGCTATTTTTTTAGACTGAATTTATTGCAGGAAAATTCAACAAACAGTCCAAACTGAAACGTAACGTGTTTAACATGAGGTATCTGAACCATGAAAGAGGGATTTACATTTCAATGGTGGAAAATAAAAACATTGCACACTGCTGCCGACTAGCGGTTGACCTTTGAATTGCACCAAAGGAAAAGAAAATACACAAATGTACCGTATGCAAGTAAATTCTTCCCAAAATTTGATACATGGCTTTTGAATATCAATGTAATATTGCAGGGGGAAAACATCACTATATCTTGCCATATAAATATTTTCTTACATCCCTAGTTGGAATATAGAACAAAATAATTTAATATTAATCATTTCTGTTGAAAAGAATATTAGAATTTGTTTTGACCCTGTTGAGCTCCTGTAGTAACTCAGCAGTGTTACACAGCAAGAGTACCATAAGGGCAACACACTGCATCCATATTAATACGTTTTAAGAATTATAAAAGCACATCCAGTCATCAAAAGAATAAAGCTGGAAGTTTTACTTGTCACCATAGTGCTATAGTTGTTGGGTGTGCCAAAACTTTGGTGAGTTAAAACACATTCACACGTATTAATCCTAAAGTTTCTTTTTAGCAATGAAATAAATGTCAATCTGCCATAAACTGTCTAGTAATGTTTGCCATATCGAGTATTTACCCAAAAATGGTAAAACATTTAAATAAAAAAGAGTGATTAGAGGCATATGAATATATTAACTGTTTAATTGGGCCTCAGAAAACACTTTAAATACCTGTGTGAATCTTGAGGTGCATCCTCAGGTTGCTGGGATCACTAAAGGCCTTGCTGCAGTATTCACACTTGTGGGGTTTCACCCCCACGTGACCCATGACGTGAACATTGAGCCTCGTGGATGTGACAAAAGCTCGGGAACACATGTGACACTGGAACTTCTTCACCCGTGTATTACCCTGGCCTTTTGCTCTGGAGGCAGCACTGTTGGAGTTCCTGCTACCGCTGCTGCTGCTGCAATTGTTATTGTCGCCGTTTGTCTGTCCTGCTGTGTGACTGTTACAAGGCCAGGGAGAGGAGGAGGAGCTCGAGGTTCCGTTTGTCAGCTTCTCTTCCGGGAGCATGTGTTGTTGCTGTGGCTGCGGCTCTTGCTGCTGCTGCTGCTGACTGTGGTCCTGATGAGATGGGCTGTGCCTGTGTGGAGGCTGGCTGTGGGTGCTGAGGTGACATTTGAGGTCAGAGAAGGATGAGCACTCTTTTCCGCACTGGCAGATCTGGCCCTCAGGAACTTGAGGAACACCTGGTTGCACCAAAAAACAGAACCGTTAATACTTCTAGTTTTATCTTAACCGCTCCTCGAGACATTTCTCTGTGGGCTCACCCATCAGCCTGCAATAGTCTCGGCTGTAATAGAAGAGTAGCTCTTGGTCTGGGTGGATCTCTGTGGTCGTGCAAAAAAACAGTTTACCGTTTGCAGGATAAGCCACCAGATTCTGCTCTTCATGGCTCCTAAGCAGACGGGGAAGGACAGAGACAGCATCCAGTTAATTCTGTGTTACAGCTGAAAGCTACAAAGAAGAGGATGAGGAGAAAAATTAAAACAACCGATTTTAATCTACGTCATCATCAGGACCATCAGAGTCAAATAGGTCGCAATTATAGCAAAAAGAATAAATACAGCGAACGCAGAACAATGTCAAACTGTTTTTGTCTGCGACGCCCAGCTCTAATCACCGTGGTGGTTCATACCTTGCCTTGCGGACAAACATCATCCAATTGCATTCATTCTCATCCGTTGTCACAATGTAGAACTCCAGAACGTTGTTGTGGTACATCTACAAAGAAATGCTTTTCTTTTTAGTTTCATCTATTAAAGCAGTATTTTATTTGACTGATAGAGACAGCAGAACCCACCTTCCATATCTGAGGTGTGTCTTTTTCTGGCCAATCAGAAAGATCCACATTGCTACAGTGCTGACCCACCACTGGTCCAAAGCAAGTCCGTGGAGGAATAACGTCCCGCACGAAAACTCCTGAAAGGCACCATGAGGACACTTGTTTAAAAAAAAAATGCTTGATGATAAAAGACAGTAAACTGCACCGATATGAAATATTTGGGCCGATACCGATATTAAGATCACTTTTATGGCCGATAACCGATATTTGCTTATACTGATATACTGACATTAATGCTTCTAAAATCAGCAGTTTTTATATAGAATGAAAATTATTAAAGCCGAATTTACGTTATTATGTACACACAACACACACATTTACGGTTCTGAGATGATTTCATTAACTGTTCACATGACTACTAAAAAATTACACATCAACCCCCTCACCCTCTGAAACAGGCAAACAAATGGAGACGAGATGGAAAACATTTCGGTTGTTAATATCGGCCCGGTTTCATTTATCGGACCGATGCCGATATGTTAAAAAATGACTAACATCGGCCAATACCGATATTGTCCATCCCTACAGAAAACAACAAGAATGCCAGTGAAAACACCAGGACTGACTCCCTGACAAACACAGAGTATGGTTTGAATGCAAATTAGACCTTTTTCCACACTTTAGCACTTCACGACTCCCAGAGAAAGAAACTACAACATATATGAGTTTACTGTCAGCTACAGAGTTAACGCAATGCTGGAAACCTGCTGACGAATGACCTAGGCGTTTCGTTTTAGTGAAAGAGGTCAATGATGATTTAATCTTTTACCGAGGGGCTCATCAGTCACTGAGATGCGAAGGCACAGCGGACGTGGCAAAGACAGGCGAGCTCTGCTTTGGATGGGCATGTCGGGGATAAAAGTGACTGGGCCGTGTTCTGGACAGTCTGAGGTATATGAGCGCTCGCACAAAGTGCACCCTAAAAGAGAAGAACTTGCTGAATATCAAGAAAAACATTCGTATTTTAATTTTTTTTATCACTCACAGATGGTGAAGGCAGAGACCATGTTCTCCTTGTTGGGAGCAGATTCCTCCAGTTGCAGGGTGGAGTTGACCAGGACCAGGTTGTTTTCTGGTCCCAGAGACACGTCAGCAGTGATGGGGGACACATTTACAGCCTCCAGTCCCATCCCTGAGTGTCCATGCAGAGACACTGATGACTCTGAATGGGATAGCTGGCTCTGGTTGGCCAAGGAGCCGGTGAGCACCACACTCACAACGCCGGAGCTCATTTCTCCATTTGAGTGGAGCTGCTCCCCAAGCCCTCCCGCCCCTCCTCCTCCCGAGTTTCCCACCCTGCCTCCCATATGATTAGGTTCCATGACCACCGGTAGCTCCAGCACTGAAGGTCCATGGAGGGGGATCACTCCTCCAGAAGAGTCCACTCCTGTCAGACCTTCGTGAGCCTGAGGCTGCCTCCCTCCAGCAAGCTGCTGCTGAGCATCGGAAACTGCCACCACTCCGACTCCATCCATGTTTGCCAGCTCCTCCCCCATCCGGTCTGGGGACAGGGGGCTGCTGACACGTGACTCCATAGCTAACCCTGTTGAGTCCAGCTCGTGAGGGCCAGCCTGGTGAAGCTCTCCCTGCCCGCTGACCTGTCTCGAGTCCATGGGCACCAGGCCCTGCTCCAGGGGCCCCACAGGTCCACTGTAGGGGTCCAGACCTGAGGGATTGTTGCTGGCCACCGACAAGGTCCCATCCATGTTAAGGCTGCTGGGATGAATGTACTGCGGGGGTGGACGGTCCGCCAGGTAGGACAAAATACCTGGAAGAGAAAGTGATCGAGGCACAACGTTAATTATCAAAGTCATGTCAGTTTTCTTTGAAGGGTAAATTTGTGTAGACACATTATACTTCACGGTGAAAGTTCAAAATATTAATTCACAGAACGATCACTCAGATTTAACTCACCTGGCAGTATGTGTCGGAAGTAACTGCTCTCCAGGTGGGGGTACGGGGGAGGCGGCAAGGAGTAGTTCCTCTCAGGTAGGCCACACATGACTCCTCTGTCACTGAGTGGACCCATGGGGAGCATCAGAGACAGAGCAGAGGGGAGGGAACCAATGGACGGACCCAAACTGGGGATGGCCACAGGCATCCCTGAACCAAAACACACACAATTTAGGGTAGGGACAGAGACCACGAGAATAAAATGGGATGTGAAAACCTAGAATTTTGGGGGGAGAAAAAACATTTAAAATAAAAATGATTCTAGTATTTATCATACCTGGTGTGGGAATGGGATTGTGCGTGGGCGAAGTGGGCAGACCCAGGTGGCTGGCACTCACAGAGGGAACACTGAGCTGGTCCATGCCCACAGGACTCAGGTTCATGTCATTCATCCTGTAGAAAAACATTAGTTAACATCCGTGTCAAAACCACAGAAAACAAAGCGCTTTGCAACAATTAGAGATTATTGTGTCGGAATAAATGACAATACTGATGTCAAGTACTGATATATGGTTCTGATTCTGCATTTAGTCAAAGGGAAAGACACCCGAACCTTTTCCACGTGACCACTTAAAATCAGTTGTAACTTTAGTGTACATACAAATGATCCTTAAAGCAAAATTCGTGATTTCTGTATTTTTTGTGTTTAATGTGTTCAATAATGAAACATTTTTGGCATTTCTCGACCACATAATTGCTCCAGTTCAACAAAATTACTACGTTTAATTTAATATAAGCTTGGAATAAACTATTCATTAATAAAAACAAAGTTTCTGATTCATGGGGAATTTTATTCTATTTGTTAAATGCCCCTAAAACAAGTTCATAATTTTCTGGCATGTGGAACATAAGCGTTAGCTTCGATTACTTACTTGAATTAATTAAATAACCGCTGTCCTTTACTTAAGCCCGTAAAGCTGCTACATATCTTGCTAAGGGGGAGACAAATGATCGTTTAAACAAATCTATGACATGCTGAACGCCAAGAAAAAAAGGAAAAATAAACAATTGTTTCATCACAGATGCTAATCATTAGCTTTGCAAAGTTAAACAAGCCAACAGCTCGGTAAAAAAGCAGACAACAGTCACGTGTTTAGACTGTACAAAACACGGATACATTACGTCTACATTACCGTGTTGCTAAATATTTAATAATTTTCTATAAAATAACAACATTACCAACATAACCTTTCTCTGTGCACGGCCATGATAGCACAACTACAGCTAGTATGCGCATGCGTGAGTGCGTGTTACAAGCGGATGCCGATCTGGGATCAGTTCCAAACGAGTTTTTCTTAAAGGCACAGTTCTGTTTTTTTTAAGTGGGTTAGGGTTAGGTGCATCGGTTAGGTGAGAAGTTTGCGAAGACGTGTTTACGTACAGTAACTACTGTAGACGTTTGAAAACAGCTATTTAGAGAAGCTTACAATGCTGCGGTTTAGGATTTTAACATAACTTTTTATAGAAGTTGTTTTAAAGTGAAATAAGAAAACTTTGATTTGAATCTGGATTTTCATTGACCATCTTTGAAGCATCTTCTTTTTATGAAGCTCTTGCATGTTTAAAAAACAAAAACAAGGAAAATAGTTTCCCTATAAGGAGATTCATTTTCAGGATTTACATGTTATTTTGCAATAAACATGTATTAATGTAGGATAATGTCTTGCAGCCTTATTTCTTTTCTGCGCCATTACAGTTATCTTTTGTGCTGATGGGAAATAAGCTATCAGTATTTTTTCACCTTTCTTTTTGTGATGAGAATTGCTTTTCTTCTCAACGGAAGTAAGAAAGCGCGCAGTAAACTGTTTCATCTGGATGAGAAAGCTATTTGGCTGCATCTCCGCCCCCAGATCCCACCCAATCTGGGTTACAGCCTCAAAACCCTGCAACAAACAACCCGTATCTGACTGTTTAAAAAGTCAGAAGGCCATCTTCTTCATTATAGAGGGAGAAAACTCTTTGCGCAAATGTAGGCAAACTCTGCATGGGCTGGTCATTACTTTGACACTTTCTCTGCCTGTAAACGTGCTCATTCTTTTCTTATCGCATTTCCCTGTAGGAAATATGTCTTACAGTAAGGAGTACTTGGAGCATATTCCATTTGCGCCTCCTCTGGCTCTCCGCAGCATCTCCAGCGCAGCGCGCTACCGGGATGCGCTCCGACTTCCCTTCCACATCGAAGCCACCTACCTGAACCCGGTCCACGATCAGAGTTTATCCTACGCACGGTTTCCCTGCTTCCCCTTCCACGCCTCCATCGGCGTGTGTGATTATTCCTTCGAACCTGCGTTCATCCAGAAGAGGAACGAGAGAGAGCGGCATCGCGTGCGCTGCGTCAACGAGGGATACGCGCGTCTCAGAGAGCACCTGCCGCACGAGTTTGAGGAAAAGCGGCTCAACAAGGTGGAGACGCTGCGAGCGGCTATTGACTATATCAAACACCTGCAGAGTCTGTTGGACTTGAACGTCTCCGGTATGGAGACGCACATTGGAAAAGCCTGCAGGCGGAGAACAGAGTGCGGCAGTGATGGAGAGTCCAAAACCAGCATCAGCAACCGCGGGGAGGTGGTGTAGCTTGTTTTATTAAAAAAAAAAAGACTATAGATGTAAAATGTAATGTGAAACGATGTGTTTAAAAAACAAATAAAACGACAGATCTAAGATGTCAAAAAGTCACGCAAAAATGTTAAAAATGATGTGGCTACAAGAAAAATGAGCATACTGACTGTTGTTTAAGCATTCAGAAGAAAAAACAGCAAACGTTTTTCTTTAAGCTTGTCACTCCTGCAGGTGCTTCAAGTTTAGAAGCTATACTTGAAACTATTTGCAAAAAGTGAAAACATGTGTTTAGACTGTGGGTCATTTTAAAATGTGTGACACAGTTGTGAACTTTGACCTGAAATGTATTTTTGTTTTATAAATTTGAATGAAGACTGGAATGTCATGCCAACAAAGTCAAATAAAAACGACATAATCCTTTTTTATTCAATAGAAATTTTATTTATCATATCTTCATCACCGAAATTATTTAGTAACTTAAGTTTATATTCAGTCTTAAGAGGGACACTAAAAAGAAAAGAGAAGATAAAGAAAAGAAAATAGAAAAAAGGTGAAGAACATTAATTCGATGTTATTGTCAGAATTCTGCTTAAAGGAGTGGTTGTTTACTCAATTCATTTGCAGTGGTCTAAAAAAACATTTGCAGTGGTCTCCAGTAGGAATGAATGCCTTGTAAGTCCTCGAGGGGAAAACCCTGTGCACCATTTCTCAGACCTAAAAGTTACCCACATCACAGCTGAGCTTCAAACGGAAGGTTTTGGAGTCGTTTTCATGATATTTGAACATTTCGCCGCAGACTGGACAACAGCAACACCACTGACTTGCAACATGGATGTTTGATCTTCACAGATAACACAAGCCTGGATGACCTTCTGCTGTGTGGTGAAGTTGCTAATGCTAACTGTTAGCTTAAACTAGCCAAGACGTCCTCTGCTTTTCCCCGGACATTAAAACAACAACAGCCTTCCCCGTCACGTGTCAAGATTGTTCAGTCCATGTACGCCAATTCACAGTGTGACATAGATCTGTTAGGATTTTTTAATCGTAGAGTTTCACCGTCTATTTTCTATCAAAAGCTAATGCAGGAAATAGGTGTAGAAGACTTTTCTCATGTTTAACCTGCATAAAAAACTCAGAGTGATCGTTTATAATCAGAAAAACATTTTAAAACATTTTTTCCATCAACCACACCTTTAAAGTCGGGATTCTTTATGTTTTCCTGGCCCTAATCCTTTTCCGTATACTATCAAAGTGTCAGGGACTGTATCTGCCATCAGTCCTAGCAAAATAATGACATCTATCCAATTTCCTCTTCAAGTTAATGTCTATTAGTCTGAAGATCTTTTGTTTTGTTTTAATATGATGTTGAAATGACATTTAGAGCCCAAAAAAGCATCAATTTTGATCTAAATTATCATTTTATAAAGTTACATTCAGAGTCAACAGAACTCCGGTTTCAAAGGTTTCCCTCTCAGCTCATATCAGAGTCCTCAGGTCCATTTAGAAGGAAACTTGAGAATGCTGCTCTGAATCTTTGGTGACCTGCATGGGAATGACTTCTTTTAAAATTCCAAGTATGCCCAAAACCACAAATTTCAAGGTGTAAATGCTGATTCAAAGACCGTCAGGTTGCAGGTCAGTGAACTGCACAGATTTGGAAGAAAAACATTGACAAGCATGAAGGCGTGACGATCCCTCACCAAAGGTGTTTGTCAGAGCTGTGCTTGAATTAGACCCAATAATTAGCTGAGTGCTGGGACCCTGAGCTTGATGGTTCAGTGGCACTTAGAAGATAAAATCCTAAAGCTACTTAAATGAAAGTCTTTGTCATAATGGATGTTTTTTTTTTCCGGCAGATTTTAATCAGATTCCTGCGTGGATTCCTCCTCTTTCATGGTGCTTTGTGGCATAGTACATTAAACAAGAGACAAGAATAGTCAGATTTGGTTTTCTTTAATGCATGGAACTGTTCAGAAAATGGCGCAAAAGCTAAAGATACAACAAAACACAGACCATCACACTGCCGCCACTGTGCTTGAATGTTGTTGTTTCCATGTCAAATTTAACAGGACGCACGTGCCATCCAGAAAGTTCCACTTTTGTTTCATCAGAATGTTTTCCTGAAAGTCTTTGGGATCATAAAGGTGTTTTTTGGTAAATGTGAGACAGCATTTGTGTGGTTTTGGAACGTTCTTATAGTGTTTCTTCTAGTTAAATCATGATCTTTAAAATCATACTATGCAACTTTTTTCTTATTTTTAAATCACTGTGTTATGCACCGAAATGAAAGGTCACTCAGATCCCACCTCCCCCTGTGACCACAAAAATGCACTTGCAACTTCAGAGTAGCCAGTCCGGTCCCTGTTGGACTTGGTAAAGTGAAGCTGGCATGCCTGGCACTGGAGTCTGCTTCCAGCACACTTTCTGCATATTTTAGGTCATGAGCACAGCTGATTTGTTTGATTAAGTGATGAACCGCTCCTGTAGAAACTAATGAAGGCTGAGGAGACATTTACAGCAGTTAGACTAAGGTGTTAAACTGATAAACGCGCAGTGGAGTTTTTCTTTCATTTTTACTAATGGGCACTAGGGGGTGCTAAAAGCAAGCCAAAACCGCTTGCTATTCTTTTAACCATAACAGTGCTTCAGACGTTGTTCTAGGTAAATTTGATTTGTAATTTCTTTAGAACCAGGCATGATGTGTTGCTTTTTGAGGTCGTTGAGCTGACTCCATGTTGTCTGACTGATTATAGTGATTTTGTTTCATAACTCAATCCCATAGAAATCAGGTCTCGGTGGGTACTTATGTTTTTACATATGGGGCCAGGTTAACGTGGATAGCCTTTTCCCCCTTAGTAATAACTTACATTTCGAAGTTATTTAGGTTATTTTTTTTTTTTTTGCTGATCTAAAAAACATTTAAATGTGACAAACATAAAACATAACCCTGTAATGGTGCAACACATTTTGCAGAGCTGTATTTCCTTCTGTAAAGTTGTAAAGATCAGATAAATAACAACAAAGGGGCCATATGGGCCCCTGTGTAAACACTCACTCAGGTACAATGAGCTCATTACTCAGTGTGCAGAAATTGGAGCCAAAAATGGGATTTTGAGAAAATATGCAAACATTGAAAACACTAAATGCAACATACATTAATTATAAGTACAACAAGTATGGAAATACAGTCAATACTGCTGGGTGAGACAGCATCAGTGGATAAGAAACACATATTTTCTTTGTGCAAACAATCAGAGCTTCTCTGCGTGTGAGGATCATTTCTGCACACAGGAAAGATGACTGGATGAGATAAGCTTTATCAGTTGCCGTAAAACCAGCGTGGGACCACCAGGAAAGGTTCTTCTAGCGTGTCCGGACAGAGAACCCTTATCCAGGGACGGAAATACAAGGAAGCGGATGCACAATCATGGAGGATTGTTGTTTTTCATTGAAATACTGATGCAGTTTGGCATGAAACCATTTGTGTCTGACAATAATAAAATCTTGTGATCCAAAAAATAATCAAATTCAGACGAAATCCTGCATGTTTTATTGGAAAATGTAATAAAGATGACACAACACTGAGATAAAAGAACACCGTCGTCTTAACCATTGATCTTTTAGATGAAACCAGCTCAGATGGCACATATAGTGCCATTGTGCATGTTAGGAACTGGAGGGATTTTAGCAGAAACCTTTCAATTAAGCAGTGAAATCCTTAAATTACCATGTCTTGTGCATTTCTCATTCAGTAAAGCTGGACATGGTACAGCATGCATTCTTGATGTAGGTTCAAAACATGATTTTAAACTTCATCCTAACTGCGGGGCTTGATTTTTAGTTGTTCAACCAAGTTGTTTCATACTCTAAAAATACAAAGGAACAAATGATGCAGCCGTTATTACAATTTCTATATTTAAATAGATATTTACAAAGAATCAAGGGACTGAAAAGTTAGTTTGCCGAGCAGCTTGGGTCAATGTGATTCTGGTCTGTGTGCAGAAAAATAAGAATAAGGGAGACCTTGTTACTAGATAAGACCCATTTGTAATATAGAGTACATGTATGATCCTATTTCAATCCCAGGGCTAGACCATGTAGTAGCCTCCGGTACAATTTCCTATTTCTGACAAGCTAAACTTCCCTTGATTTAAGAGACTATATGTAGTTTTTACCATTAGTTAATGGAAATATCCATCAAAATGTTGTTGAAAATGAATAAAATCCCAGTTGTTGAAAAATATTGGCGGCTTCTTAACATAAAACCATAAAAATCAGATCTAAAATACATGGGAGCGAGTCTAAGTCACTGGGCGACACCATATTAAATGTCATGTTTCCTTATACAGGAGCCCATGAGGACAAAATGCATTTACATATTCATAACAAATGGTTACAAAATTTTCGCCACTCTTAAATGTTGTTGTTTTACACATGTACTTCTTCACTCGTTGCCAGTGATGAAAGGGAGTCTGATGTGCTTGTTAGTTTGCTAAAGTTTGCACTGCCTAATGCACTGCTTTTTGACCTTAATGGGCATACGTTGGTAAGGTCTTACAACACAAAAATACTGCTAGCTTGCAACAATTTAGGTATCTACTGCCCCCCTATCATCAGGAAAAATACACACAGTCACTTTAAGTGTTCCATTGTCATGTTCTGGGGGAGGTGTCTAATCCAAGACATGCAGAATCAAACCCGAACACAGATGGATGGAAAAAATAATATTTTAATTTGGAACAACGATAACTAAAGACGCACTGGGAAGTCCAGTGGACTGGGAACGGGAATGCAGCGTTGGGGTTGAGTGGGATTGGGGAGTGAGGGGAGGTAGTGAGCCAGGGTTGATCCAAGAGGGGAGTGTGCAGAGCTGGAGAGGGAGCGTGGGGGTTGAGAGAGAGCGGGTTGATCAGGGCGAGTGGATGATGAACGTTGCAGAGCGAGACGGTCCGGAGTCCTATGGAGTTGGGTGAGTAATCCTGATGTATCAAGTACCTGAGGAGGGTGAACCAAAATACAAGAGATCACACAAGACCAAAAAACATACTAGAGTAATCCGAAAAAACCTGGAGACTAGGATGAGGGCTGGAAACTACCAAGCAGTAGCAATCATCCGGCGTCGAGCTGTGTTCACCATCCCTCTTAAGTAGTCGACCCGTTGATTAGCAGATCAGGTGCAGCTGCCGCTCCCTCTCCTGCAAACACACTCAGATATGTTGATGAAGAGAGAGTACTCAACCCGGCTCACAACATCCATTTCTGAGGAGCTTAGCTTTCCTTTGATATGATTTCATTCTTGACAAGGTGCACTTCCCGGTACAGTTTTTCACTTCTAACAAACTTTACTTTAATATAAAACTTATCTGCTTATGTGTTCTACTGATTCGCGCTGAACAAGAGAGTTTTCTTTCACGATCTGGTCAGAAAATCAGCTGCTACGGTCTATTTTCAGCTTGACAATTTCCTTTATATTAAATAAATTTATGAGAAAAAGAAAAGAAAAAGAGCTGAGTCTTTCTGTCTCCATTTACTACTTCAGTCAGCAGGCCTGCAGGTCCTCGAGCTGTTGAAGCAGGTCACCTTTCTCCATTTCTAACAAAGAGATCTGACGGTTCTTGTCACTCACTTTCTAAGGGAAAAAAGGACAAAGAGCAGAGTCAAAACGAGGCAAAAAAAAGTAAAGGGAACATGCAGAAAATGTGTTTTTATAAGCACAGCAGAATAAATTAAGGTTGTAATATAAACTTCTTGATGATTTAGTAACTACTCAGAAACAGATTTGTGTTTCAGCTAACCTGGGTTAGCACCGTGTTGTACCACCGGAGGTCAGCATCTTCCATGTTATCAAGAGACGGGTTGCTGCTGGCATTGGGCTCACTCATCACAGAACCCAAAGAGCCATTAACCTGCTGCATGTAAGATCTGAGGAGGCAAGATCGAGCCTGTGGAGAGGCAGCAGATGACATCACCAGACTTTGAGAACAGGCTTATGCTGTGGCTAAATAAAACATAAGAACAACTTCTCTCTGTTTGGAATGAAGAGAGTTTAATTGAAAAATGGTTAAGGGGGAAATATTCTGACATTTTTTGACAAGTTACAAAAGTTCTATGGTCGATAACAAACATGTTTATGACGATTTTTGCACTAAATCCCTCTCACATAAAGTGATTTCAGCTGTTTTATTCTTGACTGTTTCAGTGCCTTCCAGATGGCCACAGGGCTCTGTCAATTTGAGAAAACAAGCTGGAGCTGGTCACGCCCACCCATACCCCGCTCAGGCTGCTATTTACCCTTTGCACCTACACCACCTGATCATGTGGGTCCACCATATTGGAGGTCAAAATCATAGTAAACCGTGAGCAAAACAAGTATTGAACAAAAGAGCCTGAGATTGCTTATTTGGTGTTGTTGCTGTTTTTTGCAACATTGAGCATGGCTTCAACTAGCTCAAGTCCAGTTCAGTTACTGGAAGAAATAGCACACCTAGGTGAGCCAACGGTGAATTACAGGATTATTGACAGAGAAAAAAAGTGGCGACTGTTATTTCTGATCAGTCCTTCAGTAAAAAGGCCAGACAGAAGCGTATGTTGGAAATCACAGCTTAGCTCCCTGTACTGGAGGAACTGTATCGCACCTCTAAATCAGATTAAGTCTTAAAAGATATGGTAAGTTTAAAGTTTGAAGATAACCGAATAATTGGTGAGCAGGTTCGCAACTATGTATCCAAGCGTAAGCAAAGGCAATTTGAACTGAGTGATAAAGCTGACAGCGTACTGGCCTGACAATTAAAAGTGTACAGGCTGAAAGGATGATCCATAAAATAGCAGCTAACGGCAATATAATAACAGATGCTTTAAAGATAAACGACATTTTCCATAACTACTACAGGGACATGTACACTACAAAGTCAACTTCATCAAAATCAGACATTTTTGAGTTTCTTAATAAGATAGACACACCAATGTTAAGCCAAGCCGCGCAACAACAGCTGGATGCTGACTTCACCCTGGATGAGATTAAAGCAGCCATCCGCTCCCTCCCTAATGGTAAGGCCTGTGGGCCTGACAGATTTGACACTGAGTTTTATAAAGCTCACATTGACGAACTTGCCCCTCTGCTGTACCGCATGATGAATTCTTCAATTTCAATAGGCCTTTTTCCGGATACGCTATACGATGCGAATATTTGCCTTCTGTTAAAGAAAGGAAGAGATGAAACAAAGGTATCCTCCTATCGCCCTCTTAGCCTTTTAAATACCGACCAAAAAATTATAGTTAAAATCCTGGCCAACCGATTAAACAAACACTTAGGTAGCTTAATACATAGTGACCAAACAGGATTTATTCCCGAAAGGTTCGGGTTCTCAAACACCCGCAGGCTCCTCAACATCATGCACTCTAACAAGTCACCCCATGCAGCAGTCCTCTTTTTGGACGCACAACAAGCTTTTGATCAAATGGAATGGGACTACATGTTTGCTGCTCTTAGTAAATTCGGTTTTGGAGACAGGTTCATGACCGTTGCGAAAATGCACGGCCTAAATCGTGTGTGCTCACTACAACAATAAGTCCCCCCCATTCCTGCTACATTGAGGCACACGTCAAGGATGCTGCCTGTCGCCCATGCTTTTTGCTTTAGCCCTTAGCCATCACTATTAGGAACAACCCTGAAATCTCTGGATTTTGTTACAACGAATCCGAGTCTATTATCAGCTTATATGCGGACGATATCGTTTTGACCTTACACAATGCTAGACAGTCTATCTCACCTCTTCTTGAGGTAATTAAAGAAGTTGGACAACACTCCGGCTTTACCATAAATTGAGAGAACAGTGCACTGATGCCTCTGTCCGATGGCCTAGATGAAAACGTTCTTCAAAACCTGCCACTTAAAATTACAAATGAGCATTTTGAATACTTGGGTATCACTGTCCCCAGAAATCCTAAACTTATTTTTAAACTTAACTTTACAGAGATGTTGAAGGAGCTCAAAAATAAAATAGATAAATGGACATTACTTCCCATCTCTTTAATCGGCCGAGTAAATATAGTTAAAATGGTTATCCTCCCTAAATTTATTTACCTATTTCAAAATCTGCCAGTCTAGCTCACTGCATCGTATTTCAAATTAGTAGACTCTATTCTTATTTCATTTGTTTGGGCCAATAAAACCCCTCGAATATCCAAAGCACATCTCCACAAACCCGTTACAGAAGGGGGACTTGGCTTGCCTATAATTAGACATTACTACTGGGCTTGCAATGCCAGGGCTTGGGTCTTTTGGTGCCACCATGGTGGTGCTGATGAACCAGCTCCGCGATGGCCAGCAATTGAACAGCATACCTGCAGGTCGCTTTCCGGCGCGTCGCTAATGACATTGGCATTTAGTAATCAGGACATTCCTTCCAATTTAGTCAAGCATGACTTCATGTTGCGTAACTCCATTCGAATCTTGAAACAATTAAAGAAAATATTAAATCTCCCTGACACATCTGTTTATGTTCCTATTTGCCATAATCCTGCATTTAAACCAGCCATTTTAGATCTGGTGTTCAGACAATGGGCTGACAAGGGTTTAATTACAGTTAGAGATCTTTACATAAACAAGCAATTTGCATCCTTTGTTCAATTACAAACTAAGTTCAATCTTCCACCAGGCCATTTTTTAGGTACCTACAAATAAGACACTTCGTAAGCCAGTCAATAATGCAATTTGACAAACTGCCTTCACAACACAATTTTTACGAACTTCTGGGAAAACATCTGGCCTCCAAGCACCTGATCACTCTATTTGTTAGTCTTTTTCCCAGACCTACTTCATCAACTCATATTAAAGATGCCTGGATGGCAGATGCTGGCACAGAGATTACCGCCGATTTATGGGATAGAGCCTCAGCTGGGATAAAAGCAACAACGGTGAATGCTAGACTCCAGCTGATACAATTTCAAGTTATTCACCACTTGCATTACTCAAAAACTATAGGTTAAACAGAATTTTTCCTTCTATCTCACCTGTCTGTTCGAGTCTCTTTGTCTTCGTTTTTGCATCTGTTGTTGTTTATTATTTTTAATTTCTCCGTATTTTTGTTGTTTTTTGTTGTTCTTCTTTTGTATACATTGTAACAAATGCAAAATTGGCTAAAAAAGGTGAATTGAGTTTACCCTCTTGTCTGTTAGTGCAGCCAACCATGCAGCAAACTATTACTATTTTACTGGAAAATCAACTAAATAAAAGCGATAAAAGGGTACAAACTAGCTTGTTTTGACTAGCTTCACTAGAGTTTAAATGTGTGTAAACGACTTTTCTTCCAACCATCATGGTGAAGGAGGCAGTCCCATGAATGGTGTGCCGTCACGAACAAAGGGTCAACAAGCTGAGAAGCTTCGATATCGTGGAGGGGCTTAGAGTAGAGCTGGTCCTCCAGCAGTAGCTCTCTCTTGCACCTGTAAGGTGGTTCTATTCTAATTTTACTATTTGTGATGTCACACATGGGGACCTTTTGAAACAGCATGTTTTAGGCACATGATTCCTAAAAGCAAACAAGAACAGAAAGAAATGTATGGAATTTTTTCATGTCTGGAGTGTTTATGGATGCAGTAGAGAACCACATGGCAGCACAACAGAATGCTAAAGGTGATTTTAGTTGCTTTACCTTTGCTGCAACGTTCAGGTAGTTTCCTGACCCTTTTCTGCTCTCGATGTCCTGCTGGGCCTGGTTTTCCTTGAGCCGCTGGATGTACCAGAGCCGAGCCTTCTCCAGAATCTCCAGACCGGACCATAGAGCATCCTTCTCCTTCTCTAAGTCCTTCAGATGCTTGATCTGAAACATGAAGTTAAAAAAAAGTTTTCTAGTTGTTTTATTAGAGTAAGACCCAAAGTAGAGTGGACCCAAAGTATTGTGTTACAGCAGAAACATTCAGTTCTATTGTCAGTGTGAGGGTTAAATTAGAAAAAAAAAACACCATGAAGACCAGACACACTATGGATATGAATGTGACTTCATAATTTAACAAGCAGGTATCAAAGAAATGTCACAGAAGAACATTAGAAACTCCAATTTTGAAGACATATCAGGAACATTTGATTTTCCTAATTTTCAGGGATTCAAAATTATTCTGAAATCAGATTAAAGGTTTGTGAACCATTGGTTATGTTTAGCTTTCCACAGGAAGCTGTGAAGCTTGGCCATGTGGGGATGAGTCACATGATGCATTCAGCCAACATGGAAAGATCAAGGCAACAGAAATGTATTTTCAGAATACTTAGTAAAAATAAATACAGCAAAAATAAAATACAAAGGACTAATAAGAGTATCTGCCCTTACAAAAACGTATTCAAAAGTGTCGAATTTTAAAAATGAATTTTTATATATTTAGAAAGAAAGAATTTGTCATTTTAAAAATGTGTTTTTAAATTAGCTGAGGTGGTTTACGTAGGAAGGACAGAAGTGCAGCGGTTACTGTTATTATGGAGTCATGTGCAAAGATGGCTGCTTTAGCAATGAATGGTCAAGAGAGAGTCTACGGACATTATGGACAACTAGACAAGTAAAGCTATGTCATAGTCAGCGTGGGCTCCTCTCTCACTGCCAGGTGGACAACACAAAACCTGTAACTTCCCATTCAGTCAAACGTCCAATAGGTCTGGAGGAGAGTAGCTCACATCTTTAAGTTTGATCTCTCTCTGAACTGGTCTGGAGGCATTTGACCAAACCCCAGAATATAAGTCATCCTTCAGAAGTGTTTTTTTTTTTGGGGGGGGGGGGGGGGGGGGGGGGGGGGGGGTCTGCATCAGGGAGAGGGTCAGAAAGCTGTTGCAATTCAAAAAATACATATATTTTTAATCGCTGGATAAATTTTGGAAGCACCTGCTGATGAGACACATTTAAAAAGTCCTTAGGGGCTCTTGGACTTCAGGATTTTAGGAAGAAGAATGTAAAGAAAGTAGTTTACTAAAACTTACACAAAAACTAAGCTAATGTGTTTATGAACATGTAAAATAAATGTAATCAATGAAAGACATTTTTTCCACTCTACTGTGTAAAATGTAATTTGCAGAGCAATTTCCTGCACAGTGGTAGCCTGGCAAACCATCTTATATATGTGACTATATAGAGCGCTGATAGAGCGCTGTGATTGGACCACCAAGGATGTCAGTCAACGGGGCTGCCCGCCATGGTCATAGACTGTTGAAGAAGATGCAACACCCCCCCCCCCCCCCCCCCCCAACAGATAGAGCGCTACGATTGGATCAGTACCAGACTGTCCAAGGCAGCAGAGGTTCCAGTGGAGCATGACTAGACCATCCTTGTGCTTTGGCAAACTGATGGTCTAGAATAGATTCTAGGCTAGCATGGTGGCGCTATAATTCTCTCATTAGTGACACCTTCTATTTAGACATAGAACTGCGGCTCGCACATGATTCTTTCGCTACCAAAGCTATTGAATATGGTGGCCTAGAAGGGTCAACAGAATACAAGAACCTGTAGAAACTTCAAGAAACCGCCTCACAATAACAACCCTACAACAGAAGAATTTATAAAACAGAAAACAAAGAAACGAAATAAGTTAGCATTAGAAGGAAGTTGTGTTTAACTGAAACTTATGATAAAGCGTAACTGTTACACCCGCTAAGCCAAAAACATGTTTTGTCATTGTGTTGTGACTTTTTACTTTTTCTGTGTTTTATGTTTTGTTGAATGTTCTGGTTCACCATACATTGCTCATAGCCAACACAAACATGGCTACAGCTCTGTCAATGTTACAGCTATTGATCGCCTAACTGAAGGTTAGTAACAGCACACACTCTGAGCACTACATCACTTCACAGCTAAATATACTAAAAGAAACAGCACCAATCATATTTAATTGTGGGCATTTTAAAACAAAATAAATAAATTAATGACTAAAATAATAAATAAAATGATGAAATAACGTAAACATAATTGTGGTAATTTTTTAACTTGTGCCTTTAACTATCACAGAAAAACAGTTATCAGGTGAATTTATTTGTGCTTGGGTCCATTTACCTATTTTCAGTGTGTCTGAGAGTCTTTTTAATTCACAAACATCACTAAACAATATTTTAAGAGCCAAAATGGTATTTTCAAACAAGAGCTTTCTAGATTTACTTAAGAAATATATTTTACAATTAGAGTCCAGAAGTAAAAATGTCAGTCCAACCTGTCAGGGCACTTTGAAACTCCCTCCAGCTGCGCCGTTCTCAGAAAAATAAGAAAAATTAAAAAGGATCAACTAGCAGATGTAAAAACCTGAATCTGTAGCCAGTCTAAAGAAATATGCATGTGACAGCTGCCTTGACTAAAAGATAAATGATTCAGTGATATGTGCTACATTCCAAAACTGAAGACAAGGTCAAATGTGTCAACCTGCTGACATTTTTATGAACTGAGGAGGAAGTAAAAGCTTAAATCAATTTCTGATCCTGTTTGAAAACAAACTGCAGAAAATGTAAACGAACAACCCCTCACCCAGAGGTAGAAGTGGAGGGCGTCCGGGCTGTAGAGGCTGGTCTTGAGGGGGATGATGGTGATGGTGTAGGAGCCAGAGCTGGAGAGATGGCAGGCCATGGAGCGCAGATGAGGAACTGAGAGCTACCCCATACAGCTGGGTCAACCATAAAACAACCAACCACAGCTCCCTGTTTCAGAATAATACCACTGAGAGTGAAAGAGAGGGCTGGAGTGGGAAAAAAAATAGCAGGAGGCAACACAGGCAGAGGCAGCATGGTGCCCCTGGGGCGAGGCAATGAAAAATTCCACATGTAACTGTTATGACTGGTTAATCAGCATACAGCAGGGTGGAGAAATGGACAAGCTGCCCATGGAATTAAGGAGGAAAGACAATAAAAACAGAGCAGGAAATGTGAAGATGAGGATAGGTTTGAGGAAGCAATACAGGTGACCACACGGCTCCCAGTCCACTGGAGGGGAACATTTGGAGCAGAGGAGGAAAACAAGCTGGGGTCAACTGGATCAGAAACGTTCTAGTTCTGCCAAATGAAACTGAAGTACGCACAATTATTTTCTTCTGTTCTGACACGTTCTCTGGAATGTGACACAACCTGCTGATAAATGTAAAGTTTGCTTCAGAAGAAAAGAGTTTGTTCTGTGAGCAGGAAAAGCAGAGGTTTCAGACTCATGTAGGGATAAAAACAACATCTGAGCACTAATCAATGACTCGTTCTCACTACTGCCTGCAGCTAAATACACTCTTACTGTGGAGCATGTGGGTATATTTTTTGTGTAAAACAAAGTACTTTTGTAGAAGTATTTACTGCTATTTATTTAACCCTCCCACTGTCCTAATGGGTGTGATGCCGCAAGGAAAGTTGACAATTGAGCAGGGTTGATGGTTTATCCCTTGGGTCCATGTGACAGGGGTGAGGAGTGAGCACCACCTCACCCCTGCCACATGGACCCAAGGGTGAAACGGAATGAAATGAATCTTTTCCACCAAAAGTCATTTTCCCCCTCTCCTCTGACACAGAACTAGTCTGCATGAGACATGGCCTCAAGGTCTCATGCATCTGCTTCTAAACTGCTTCTTTCCAGCTCAAGAGAAGAATGAAGAAAGGACTCTCTCCTTTTAATAAATCAAAGAACTCTATTTTAATAAAGCTAATCAAACAAAGTGTTAGTCAATAATAAGATGTGACCAATCTAAGAAATCAAAATATTAATTACTTTATTATAATCCTATAGAATATAATAAGTAATATGACTTTAAATGTTCCCACTAGGACTGATCACACGTAGCATTAAGAGACGACACATCGCTTTACTGATCCAATCAGAATCTGCCAGATCTGACGGAGGCGTGGTTTTGGCGGTGCTTGGTAAATCTGTTATCTTTTCATTCGACCATAAACCAAAACATCCGAAGTATAAAACTATGCCCACGTCATCTTTAAGGCATCTTTTCGACCGCGTCTGCCTGGATGTAGGTGGAGGCGTACATCCTCCAGAACTGACTCCCTGTGCATTAACTATCCGTGTTTTCTCTGATTCTACAGTGCTCTAGTCTTCTAAGACTCTGCTCCAATTCACGATCGGTCCCATGAGCTTGACACACCCCGTGTACATCTCCGAGAGTGGAACCATGCCTCTCACCCTTGGCATGGACTTTCTGAGGCGCATTGATGCTTTCATTAATGAGGAAGGGGGGGACTCTGGTCAGGGGTTGAAGAACCACTGCCCATCGTTCTGCCTCCTGACCTCCACTGTCTTACGATTGGTAACTCTGAGCAGGCGGGAACAACATGTTCACCACCTAGCCCAGAACCTTTGCCACCACAGATTCAGCTTTCATCAGAGTCACATTCTGATGTTTTCTCTCAGACTGAGCAGGTCGTGGACCAAGCAGAGGTTCCTACCACTGTGTTCGAGCGAGACAAACAACAACTTGTGTTAAAATATCCTGATTGCTATAATCTTTCTCTTTCCACCATGTGGGCGGGTAAACACCTTTCCAGTTACATCGGTGGCCAGAAACTCGGCTTTGAAGCTCGACTTCTGCCAGAGAACTTCCTTAACGGTCATCTCAACAACTTTACAGACCCTCTTGCCACACAAGGTAAAGATATGGGCACCTCATGGTCCCTCAAACCCTTGTGGGCCCCTGATGATGCATCCATCTTTCAACCATCTGATGGGTTTGTGTCTGTTCAACTTGGCTTTTCTATAAATGACCTTGTCAGTCTTCAGTTCCAGGACCCTGCTATCAGCGGGATGATCTTGTATCTCTCTGACCCAAAGGGTCTCTTCTGTTGTGTCTGAGTTAATACGAAGCTGTTACCTAATCCCTGCAATAAAAAGTTCCAGTCTTCTGGTTAAACAGTACCCACAGATCCATAAGGTCGATTTCATATTTACTATGGAATCTTATGTCTTATGGCTGATTAAATAACATGTAAATTAACTCATTACAAGGGATAAACCATCAATCCTGCTCAATGGTCAACTTTCCTCACGGGGTCACCCATAAAGACAGTGGGAGGGTTAATGTCACTACTTCTGTCCAAAGTCTGTTTTTTGCTTTCCTTAGTTAAGCACACATCAATTTTCCAGACGTCTTTTTTTAGAGGAATTTTCTTGGGTCCTTGAGTCATTCTGTGATTCTTCGTACTTGTATCTTTATTAAAGACGTTCTTCTCTGGTGTTTTGCATCATTTGGGCAACTAGTAATTTAGTGATGATTAATCCTTTCAATGTGAACACCAAGAAAAAAAGGAATTAAAGTAACTTTTCTGCATAGTTTTCAGTTTATCTGAGGCAATAATAGTTGTAGTTTGATGCATGTTGGGAATAATGTTATAAATAATAATGTGATAATAATCCATCCATCCATCCATCCATCCATTTTCATCCGCTTATCCGGAGTCGGGTAGCGGGGGCAGTAGCCTAAGGCGAGAGGCCCAGACTTCCCTCTCCCCAGCCACTTGGGCCAGCTCCTCCGGGGAAATTCCAAGGCGTTCCCTGGCCAGGTGAGAGACATAGTCTCTCCACCGTGTCCTGGGTCTACCTTTAGGCCTCCTCCCAGTTGGACGTGCCTGGAAAACCTCACCAGGGAGGCGTCCAGGAGGCATCCTGACCAGATGTCCAAGCCACCTCAACTGGCTCCTCTCGATGTGGAGGAGCAGCGGGTCTACTCCGAGTCCCACCTGGATGACCGAGCTTCTCACCCTATCTCTAAGGGAGAGCCCAGCCACTCTGCGATCTCGTTCTTTCGGTCACTACCCAAAGCTCATGACCATAGGTGAGGGTAGGAACGTAGATCGACCAGTAAATCGAGAGCTTCGCCTTCTGACTCAGCTCTCTCTTCACCACGACAGACCGGTACAATGCCCGCATCACTGCAGATGCAGCACCAATCCGCCTATCGACCTCACGCTCCAGTTTTCCCTCACTCGTGAACAAGAACCCGAGATACTTAAACTCCTCCACTTGGGGCAGGACCTCATCCCTGACCCGGAGAAGGCATTCTAGCCTTATCCGAATCAATGTGATAATAATGTCAAGTAATAAGATTTAACTTTTTCTTTGACCATCCTAATGTTTTTGGGGATATTTATTTTTTATTTTTGTTATTTTTCCCCACTATATTTTAGTGCATGCTTTAGGGATTAAATTCTGCAGATCTGAGTTGCTGATCTCACAGAATTATTCAAAATGAAATACAGAAGAAAAGTCAAAGTTTGCTTTTTTACAAATGCTGAAGAAACTACTTATTTAATTTTAGTGTTACTACTGTGGGCAGCACAGTGGCACAGTGGTTAGAGCTGTTGCCTTGCAGCAAGAAGGTCCTGGGTTCGCTTCCCGGCCTGGGATCTGTCTGCATGGACTTTGCATGTTCTCCCTGTGCATGCGTGGGTTCTCTCCGGGTACTCTGACTTCCTCCCACAGTCCAAGAACATGACTGTTAGGTTAATTGGTCTGTCTAAATTATCCTTAGGTGTGAGTGTGTGAGCATGATTGTATGTCCTGTGTGTCTCTGTGTTGCCCTGCAGTGGACTGGCTCTCTGTCCAGGGTGTACCCCGCCTGATTGCCCATCAACCGCTGGAGATAGGCACCAGCCCCCCCGCGACCCTACATGGACAAAGCGGGTTCAGACAATGGATAGATGGATGTTGCTAATGTTTCTTGGAAATGATTCCCCATTATGTTTAATTGTTTACATTAAATCTTTCATGTTAATTCATTTTAAAGTCTCCATTTGAGAACTCTTGTGAGATCTGCTGCAGAGGAAAATCCCCGTCAGGGTATTTTAATTTCCCACTGGACAAGCATTTCACTTAAAATAACCAAGAATTTAAGTTTGAAAAAATAAAAAATAAACTGTGTTTGTTTAGGTTGGTGTGACAAAAAAACTGTAAATTTAATCTGAGAAAACACAGAAGCCACATGATGTGTCTGAAACGTTCATGGTTCTGATTGTACAACAGGTGTGGCACACAAGTAAACACACAGGTCCCTGTTTGGCCTTGTTCATCCCACGGATCCCACAGGAAACATCACACTATTGTTATTTTCATGGAAAAATCATGATGTTTCAGTAAAATGTTCCATTACTTTTCCACTTTTTTCTTTTTTTCATTCACTCGTTTGTTTATTTGTTTTATGCCGTACAAATTTTAGCTGAATTTGTTTTTCACCACGAGAGGGCGCTGTAAGTTAACATCTCAAGTTTCAGTGAAAACATTCTATGACCTCTACTAAACCTGACCCAATGTTCAAAGTCTTAGAACATTTTGTGTTCTTAGACGGACTACCCTACATGTAGAAATATGTAACAGAAAACATTCCCCCAAAATCAACCCCTGATGATGCTGAACTTTAAAAGTCCCTTTGAGCGTCCTTCAGATAAAAACTTGCATGGACACCCATGACACACCAGCAGACACGTGATTCTCATCAGAACAAGGCCCAGAGCACTGATGTCAATCTGAAACAACAGGTATCTCTTATTTTGAGCTGACTGCAGCTACCTAAAGGTCTTCCATGCAAGAAAACAGAGATAACTAACTAACTGAAAGTGAGTTTTTCTGTTAATAATTAATAAAACGTCTTCAGAATTAAGTCTGCTTGTTGCAACATCACATTAAGTTTCCACCGCAGCCTCCTCACAAGGAGGAAGTCAGCAAACTGTCACATAAACATAGTAAATACATTCACTACAGCAGCTTTTAATCTTTGGACATATCAGCAAGGTTTACCACACACACACACACACACACACGCACACGCACGCACGCACGCA